GAACTTACGCTACATCTTGTTTTCTAATGGAAATCTTAATGCTAGGTCCCGTTATTCAGGAGGGTCCTGAAAACTCCTAATTGAATCCTATCTTAAACATGCCAACTTTGAAGCCAACTTATATTCCTTTAGGGTACATTTATGCTAGATTATGCTACTCATGATTGTTTTGAATTTTAAACTAGGTCCCATTTTCCAGGAGGGTCCTGAAAATCAAAAGTCAAACCTATCTGGTGCTTGCCTTTCCTTACGAAGGGTTTCTCCGAAACAAACGAAACTTTCTGCCCTGTTTCAATCAAAGAAAAATCTTGTCAGTTTAAAAATATGGTGTTTGGTTTGTGGCCTTGACTTTGAGGGCGATTGCTCCTTCACTTCCCATGATCACTTTGATTTCCACTCGAAGACCTTGCTTGTTTATTGACTAACCACTTTCTCTGTCACCCCTATCACAGAAAATACCTCTTCTCCATTCAGACCCAATACCTTCCATCTGTTGCATTACTCATGGACTGACATTTACCAAACCTTTGTGTCTCACCTGAATCTCAACGCACGTCAATTTCCACCCACTCAATACGTATGCTGTTCTTTCTTGACTTAAACTACTGGCCCTGGCCTTGAGTTCTATTGTTCCCTCACCTGCCATGATAACTTTGATTTCTGCTTGGAAGACCACGCTTGCCACTGGTTAACCCCCTTTTGTCAATCTTACCACAGAAAATACCTTTGATCCGTTCTCCCTAACCCCTCCATTTGTTGCATTGTTCATGAATTGATATGTACCAACCTTTGTATTTCACGTGGATCCCAAAGCATGTTGATTGTTACCAGCTCAGTGCGCTTTGTTCTTTCCTGACTTATGACACTTTGATGTGCTAGCCAGATCTCGTTTTGTGCAATTGGAAAGCTGGTGGCAAATTTTGAAGTCATTTCTCACTTGTTCCGACCAAACAGACTCAGGAAGAGGGGGTAAACAAAATAAAAGGAATAGAGTAAAGGACAAAGAAAAGAGATGATTCCTAACAAGAAAGCTACAAAGTAGAAACCTATCAGATGTGGATACCAACTCTAATGACCATGACATGCACCTGTGGATATTCTGATTCTGTCAAGCAAGTCTGATGTTCAACTCCTGTTATACCCCCAAACCGTGAAACTGGGCTTCGATGCTCCGTCGTTAGTCATCTTTCACAATCCCCGTCTGGTGATTTCCCATCTGATTCTCAATCCTTATTCGACTTGTAGTGCCCGAAGGGTTTTCACCATAAAGCCTCTCTCATTTTGTTCTTTCTCTCAACTTACAGTCGCCTCAAGGTGCCCGTGAAGGTTTTCACCAATAAGACTCTCTCATTTTTTATTTCTCTCAGTTTTCATCGCCTTACGATGCCCGTGAGGGTTTTCACCAATAAGACTCTCTCATTTTTTTATTTTCCTTGTTTGGACCAGAGTGTTGCCCCTGATATGATTCACCTCCACTTGCTCGCCTTGGCATCTCTCGAAGACTGATCGGAAGGTCTTTCTTTGGACCGTAATGTGGGCTTTTGGCTAGTGTTAGAAAGAAAGGGTATCAAAAAGGCTCAAAACAACTCAAATGGGTTCAAGATTACAACTTTCGGAATCAGATTTCTTACAACAACCCTAACTTCTGCACCAGTTTCTTTTCTTGGGGACTTTTGGATTTTTGTTTTGATGGGACCGAACCGTGAGGCTGCCTACGTATCCTTAAAGGAATCAGGTCGAACGTAGTTCATGTCATAGGAATTACTTTGTTTGTTGTGATCTTTCTTTTCCTTTTCTTTCTTTCTCTTTTTCCTTTCTTCCTTTTTTTCTTTTTTTGTTGTTTTGTTGTTCTTTTTTTTTTACTCTTCTACTCTCTTTTTTTTCTTTTTCTTTTCTTCTTCTTTATTCATCATTTTTCTTTTCTCTCTTTTCCTTTACTTATCTTTCGCGCTTGCGTTTCTGATCTTTGCTGCTAATTCCAAAAGAGGGGTATGAAAGGAAATAAATGAGGCTCAAAGGGGTAACAAAGGATAAAGTGTTTAGATAGCAGAACAAAATGCCTTCGTCATTCCAATCCTCGAAACATGCCAAGTACAAACAAACACATTTTCACCAAAGAAATCATACGTAATATCTTTTGACCGCATCAGAATTGATAGCCATTTCTACACCTTTGCCTTCTACATTTGTTAAATACAAAGCACAATTGGACAACACTCTCACTCTCATTACCACGAACGGCTCCTGTCAATTTGGCAAACTTGCCTTTAGCCTCAACCCGATGCGGCATGATGCATTTCAATAGGGTTTCTTTATGTTCTATCTGCCCCAGTTTCACACAGTTCGCGCTTGAAATGATCTCAAAATTATCTGCCCCAGTTTCACACAGTTCGGGCTTCGAATGATCTCAAAGTTAAGTACTTATGTCCTTCAAATGCCCCAATCATCTTCAAAATTGCTTCATTACTTCATGAGTAAACTAACTTTTAGACCAGGCCTAGAATTATGCATGCATGTCATGTCACTAGAACCAGCATGAAAAGAACTATAAAAAGGAGAAGAGAACTAGAGATAACAAAAGACAGGAAATTGCATTAGACAGACAGTGAAACGGTTCGAACAAAGAGACGAGCAAACTAAATTGGATTTACAACCCTGGAACAAACCTAGACAGCACTAAACGAGTTACTATGACTAAACAAACCAGGCAAAATAAAAGGATAGAAGGGTTTGAGTCACAAGACAATATCCGGATTACAACCCTGAAATAACCCGGACAACAAAAATGACAACAAAATAAACCACCAAGACTCCTTCCCGGGTAGCCAAGAAAGGAGCGTCTTTCCAATTACCAAGCTCGGCATCTTAGCCACTGAGTTCCACATCAATATTACCAAGACCATTACCAATTTCAATGTCATTAACTTTAGTCAGCAAGTCCCCAAGAGAATTCTCGTGCTCCCTGTCACTGTCCTTGATCGCAATTATCCCTTCTTGAATCATTCTTTCTATTTCCCTTTTCAAAGCATGACAATCTTCGATGCCATGACCTTGGACGCTAGAGTGGTACATGCACCATATAGTAGGATCAAAACCTTTGCATATGGGTCCGGAGTATAGCCGAGAAGCGGCTCAATCAGGCCAGAATATTTTAACTTCTCAAACAAGTTTGTGTAGGATTCTCCAATGGGCGTGAAATTATCTTTTTGCCTTTGTTTCCCTCCATGCCTCAGTTTTCTGGGATTGTTGGATGTTTGAAAATGCTGTGAAGGCGCACGAGAATCTTGGGATGCTGATGCTCGCCCTGAGGAATGACCCAGTTGTTGGACAGATGGTCGGACTTTGTTCGGAGGATAATACTGGGGTGGATTACGTGGAGCTCGGTGAGGTTCATGGGGCCGGTATTGAGGCTGAAAACGTTTAGCAAGAATGCCCACTGGATCCTGTCGTTGGCGGGGCTCAGCCACATCTTTTCTATCAATGGGAGGACTGTCCCGAGCAACTTGTTCGTTCCATCTGAACCAAAATTCCCTAAAACTTTCTTTGGGTTTCTTTTCCATTTTAGATAGGGAGGAGCGGTCTGGGACAATGTTTATATTGTACTGAAAGTGTCGAACAAAATCTTGAGCCATGTCATCCAATGTATGCCATTTACCGTCATCTTGAAGATTATGCCATTCTAAAGCTGCCCCAGTCAAGCTCTTACTGAAATATGCCATCAACAAGTCATCTTTCTCTCCAACACTTCTCATTTCACTGCAATAACCCCTCAGATGGGCTACCGGATCTCCACCCCTATCATACAAGTTAAACTTTGGCACTTTAAACCCCGCGGGCAGGCAAACGTCAGGGAACATACACAACTCTTTGTAAGACATGCTAACCTGGTCTCCCGTCCCTTGCATGTTCTTTAAAGACCGTTCTATGCTTTTCAGCTTCCCGGATATCTCATCTCGCCCTTCTTTTCCTGTAACCTTTTCATTTTCAGCATGAAGCTCATCCCGAGGGCTCTTCTTATATGAGCCAAGAACCCTGTCGGCAACCTTTGAGGGGTAATATTGGGCATCATGGGCTTTGAGTGGGTGTTCACTGTTGGGAATAGCGGATATGACAGGAGGGCAATTTTGGGGAGAGGTAATTGGAGGATGAGTGATGGAGCTACTAGGGTGGTTGGGAAAGCTGTGATAAATGGGTGGATCTGGAGAGTATGAGGGATCATCCGTCACTACGACCGGAGTTTGGGTAAGGGTAGCATCTAAGAAGCTAGGTGGTGGGGGGGTACCTTCCCAGTCATCCAAGCCCGATACATATCCGCCATGTGTTGTCTTAACATCCTTACCTCATCAGCCAAACCAGTGTCCTGTTCAACCAACTGCTTTCGGGCACCAGTATCAACCAACCCGATTTTGTTGTTGTCCGCCATTGCCTTTTGACTTTATGTTGTGGAGAGGAGTTACTACTTTGAGAACCACAAACCAACCACCTTTCTGCTATGATATCAAAAGGAACAAAATGGGGGCATCCCGTTAGCGTTAGGGCTTTTAACAGATAGGCAACCGCACATTGGGGATGCAATGCACCTAAGCAGTTAGCCATTTCTATCATGCATTTGATCGGTTGCTTGCGTCATCCCGGCTTTCTCTTATTTCCATTCTCTTTTTCTTTCTTTTTTTTTCTTTTTTCTTTCTCTCTTAATCCCGCCTTTCTTTACTCAATTTCTCGTTGTTCTTTATTCTCTCATTTTTCTATCTTGTTTTGCCATAGTTTCCTTCCCAAGTTTCTTGTTTCCTCTTTCTTTTTCTTTTCTTTTTCTCTCTTGTTTTCCCTCTCTTTTTTTTTCTTTCTCTTTTTTTCTTTTGGTTATGATCGAATCCTGTGGAGATTGCCTACGTATCATGACCCCGCATGAATCAGACCAAGCGTAGTTCTGGGGGATAATAATAATATATTTTGGGATTTTTAAATTTTTCATAAAAATAAAATGTTTTGATTACAACGACTCAAAAACTAACAGACTTGAAAAAGAAACAAACAGACTCTGATGGAAAGATGTAATTACAAACTCAAAAACAAACTAACAGACTCCAACAGGAAGATGAAAATACATACTCACAAACAGACTAACAGACTCCAAAAATCATGAATACATTAATGCCTCAACTGCTCCTGGGGCCCGCGGGACATCATTCGATCTCGCCACGGGCCTACGTGCCAAATCCCCTTGGAGATGATAGAGATCTTCCATTATCTGGCGGACAAAAGTCATTATAGTGGCAAAGAACATGGATCTAGTCATGTCCTCACAACTACTGCATTTCATCGCGATGTAGTCGGTGATCCTTCTGACTCTCTCTCCTATGACACCCTTTTCTTGCAACAAATGCCCAATTTGCTTGGCCCTACCTTCCAAAGTTTGTTCAGCTACTTGATTCTGTTCTTGAAGTTGTTGCAAATCTCTTTCTAAACGTGCCATTGCTGCATAACAGTGTTCTCTTTCAGCCTTAAAGTCTTTCGCCTGCTTGATCATTTTGTTCTCAACGATGATGACCCTTTTCTTCGACCCTGCAACCTCATTGTCGTATTCCTCTTTTAACTGTTTAACCAGGCGCGCTCGTTCCTCCGCATTCTTAGCCAATTTTGTTCGAGCCCTGGCTAGTTCACCCTCTGCTTTGTTCAAATCAGAACCATACTCGCCCACCTTCTGCCTAAGGTTCTTTATAAGCTTTTCATCCTTTGCACTTCTGGCGGGATTTTCAGCTGCTATTTTTATTTCTCGAATCTGGGCTCGAAGGGCCTCATTTTCTTTCGCTAGCTTTTTCTTTTCACCCTCATCCACCGCGGCTTGCAAACCATTCTCGAATTGAAGGTCCTGTGTCTCTTGACGACTCTTGGCGCAACCAGATACTTGTGTCTCAGAGGAATCTCAGCGCTCCCAATATATCCGGCTATTTCTTCCAAAGTTGGGGTGAGTTCAAAATCTGAGAAATGAAACACGTTGTGGGCTGGGTCCCAGAATGTAACCAACGCTTTATGATGTCCCCTCTAGGCCTGATCCTTAGCAACCCGGTAAGACCTCCCAAGTATAGATTGACCTTATCTTGCCCTGATTTACCCAGGTCTTCCCACCACATGCACAGCTCCAAAGGGATTTTGTTCATTACTGTTATTGGAAAATTTTGACTCGTGCTCATTCTGCACATTTATTAGGGTGATTAAGCAAAATTCATGATTCATTTGACTCAAAAACAAAGCTGACACTTTTTTTCAGATTTTCATTTCAAAAGTAAAAACCCAATTTTGCAAATACGGCCTTTTAGCACTTCCGGGGAGGGGGGGGAAGATCTTAAGGCTGTGCTTGCCAACCGGCCTAAAAATTTGAAAAGAAACCAAAGGCGGTTGTTCTTGCAAAAACAGCCTTCCGGCGTCCTTTTGGGGACATTCGGCTATTTTAGACAAGAATGGCATCACCGCTTATTTAAAATAAATTTTTTTTTCTTTTGGGCTATTTTTCAAAAAGGAAAGTTGGACCCGATGGGGGTTGCCTACGTATCCCACATCCGGTGAGAATCAAACTGGCGTAGTTCGGGCAGATTTGACGAAAATAAAAACCAACTATTCTTCAAAAAGGAAAACAGAAAATTTTTGTCAGAATTTTGGCAGAGTTTCAGTATATTTTGGACACTGATTTTTCAAAACAAGTAATTATCTTTCTGAGCCCTCACATTGATTTTTCTTTTCCAAATCTCCTCTAATCATTCATAAGCCGGTCAACATGCAAATCCGATGCAAATAAATGCACAAGTAGCAAGTAGGATGCATAAGGATGGTCTTTTCATTTCGGGTACACCTGTCCTAGACAGACCCAACCCCTGTGTTGAGTCTCCAAAGTCAAATGCACGTGATGCAAACAAGCGTTCCTACTAGGGATCCGGCATGAGGCTTTGTTATACTAGGTTTAAAACCTGGGTTTATTGTTCTAGACCTGGCTTACCTGAGCGGACAGCTCGAGCCGAGGGGGGCAGCGTACCAGGAATACAGAAGCTTCACCGGCTTTGCAACTTGTTCGAACCTCGTTCTAAAATGGGATAAGACTCTAGACAGAAGAGAAGTCACACGAAGTGCACCCTTCTCCATGATTTAGAGGACTCAGAGAGAGGAAGGGTTTCGTAGCAGTTTATATACAGTTCACAGAATATCAAAGCGGCAAAGGCAACACTTAGCACATTAGGCCCAAACATGTAACAAAATTAGATAATAAATAAAGCCAAATATAACAATTTATCTAAGCTCGAATTCTGAACCCTGAACCAGAGATTCTGGGTTCTTTTCCCCAGCAGAGTCGCCAGAGCTGTCACACCTTCTTTTTTCCTACACCCCCGTAAAGGGGTATAATAAGGGAGTTATTTCCAACTTAAAGTGACAATCTAAACGGGATTATTTAAAAATTCAGAGTCGCCACTTGGGATAATTATGGTGTCCCAAGTCACCGGTTCAAATCCCGAATCGAGGAAAGATTGACTCTGTTTTACAGTCCGCGAACCAGAAATCCGGGTAAGGAATTCTGTTAACCCGGGAGAAGGTGTTAGGCATTCCCGAGTTCCGTGGTTCTAGCACGGTCACTCAACTGTTATTATTGGCCTAATTATCTGATTTTAGAACACTTTCAATCCTATGTGCATTTTTACTTTTAAACCGCTTTTATTCATTTTTAGAAAGATTTCAACGTTATACAAAATACGTCTTTGGATCACGCCACATGAAATGCATCCGTGATCCGCGACATATTTTATTTAACGTTGTTAGGATTTGGATTTGGGTCACATGAAATGCACACCCGAGTTTAAGAAAATTAATTATTAAAGTGACGCGCCTAAAGCAACTACGCCTTTTTAACTTTGCGAGGGCCATGAAAAATTCGCTAAATGGCACACCTCGATTTCTAAAGAGCAAACACATTAATTAAATGAGGACCGTGCATTTAAAATTTTCTTAGGCGCGGCACACCTCAATTTAAAAAAAAAAGGAATTCAAACTAAAGTTTGGAGGGCCATAAACTATTTGTGTTGTCTAATATAGCACACCTCCAAAAAGTCAAGCTAATTAAAAAACTCAAGGTGTTCAAAGGCCTTTTATGACAAGTTCAAACTTATATTGCAACATGAGTAAATAAACGTCCGCTTCCCTTTCAAATATGGGCCCAAGGGAGCCCAATAACTTATTGTAAGTGTTATGAAACTATTGATTTTTGAACGACTTGAGCTAGGCCCCAAAAGAAGGCCCAATTCGGAAACATGGTTCAATGGCAAAGCAGGGACTCAAGATCGAGTCCCTGCCGCAACACAATCAGCATACAAACAAGGAATTAAATGGCCCCAAGTCGATTCCAGACAAAGTGAAGTAGGCCAGATCTGATTCAAACGACCATGACCCCCTTTAAACAATTAACCCAAAGTCGACCATATGCCAACCAACTAGAATCCATGAGACATACACGTAAACTACCATTTAGCTTCCAAATTTGATTGTTTCAGGAGGGATCGAACAGATAAACATTTTTGGGAAAAAAAAAAACTCGGAACTAAGTAATCATCATGTAATCATGCTGGACTCCGTTTTTGAAAACTAATTTCAAAAGACAATTCCATGCTATTAGAGACATTTGCTCGAGCTATGTGAATGACAAATAACAAACTTGTAGGCTAATCTAAGAAACAATAAGAGTTTTGAATTAGATCCTTAAACTAAATGTACTTGCCAAACCTCACATAATAAATCAGTATGACTTCACACACCATCATTTGGCATTTAACAAAACTTAAAATGAAACTTTCAAAAGGTCAGAACCAACTCGACTTCCATTTGAACCTCTCTCATTCTCAAAAAGCCCAAAACATTCACAAAAAGAAAAGCACTTAAACCAAGCTCTAAAACTATGCAGGGGCAGATTTTAGCATGATTGCTGGAAAATAACTTCAATAACTCATAATTGGAATTAACATGTATTTAAAACTCATGACTATGGAATCAAAAACCAAACACTTCAGCCAATTAAACTGCAAATCACAGTCCATCTCTAATACTCACTACAGAGTCCAAGACAATCTCTAATCAACTGCATCCTCATAAGTTCAAATCTAAACTTAAAAAAAACAGAATGAAATGCACACAAAGCTATACTAAAACAAACCAAGAACCAGATTCAAACTGAACAGATAGCAGAAAACTAGTATTGATTATTGCTTCAACTTGAATTACAGAGGTTCATAGTTGCACTTCACATGACAACAGATCCAAGGCATACCTGGAAATAGAAATAGAAACCAAAGGGTGAGGAATCAACAGTAGTACTAGCAGAAATCAGCACCAGCAACACTCAGTAAACCAATTTCAAACCCAGAAAATGATGTGCA